TGTCTACCTAACCTGTGGATATCATTGCAAGGACATTCATTGTAATTATATAATTGTTTTTTTTTTTTGGGTGTGGGGGGGGGGGGGGGGGTTGTGTCCTATCCAGTGTCTGCTTCTTTTCCACACTTCTCATTAAGCTGTTTGTTTACTGTTTTATACTCTGTGACAAGGGGATACAAGACAATACACAGGAAAGGATAAGAGAAGCTCATTTTAATAAAAGACGGGATAGAGAGAGAGAGAGAAGGGAGACAAAGGAAGAAATATAAAGAAGGAAGAGCACAGTGAGAGAGAGAGGGGAGACAAAGGAAGAATAATGAAGAAGGAAGAGCAGAGAGAGAGAGAGAGAGAGTAAGATCTCCAGGCGTACAGCAAAGAACTACTCACAAAAATACATATCAAAACAAGTTTTTGAATAAAAAAAAAAAGTCATTATTGCCTTGTATTAATGGGGGACTGTGCATTAGGATCTAGAGTCACTTGCTAGTGTTATTGCCATAGAATGTGCAGGCTGAGATTCCCTCTCCCCCCCCCCCCCCCCCCCCCCCCCCCCCCCCCCCCCCCCCCCCCCCCCCCCCCCCCCCCCCCCCCCCCCCTCCCCCCCCCCCCCCCCCCCCCCCAGCGTTCCCCCACCCCCCCCTCCCAGCAGGACAAAATCCATAAACCTATTGAGGATTTAAAGTAATAGATTCTTAAACATTCTGCTACCACACTACCTGGCTCCTGAGTATAGTATCACCGAACAATAATATGATTACCACAGGATTATTATTACCTAATAGAAATGCAGTTAGAATAGAAAGGAGGTTGAATACATAACCGGTATTGCTAATGTTGCATATGTGCTTGGAAATTGAAATGACCAGACAGTCAACAGCATCATCAATTTCTACACCTGCCGTTAAGAGCCATGGGGAGGAACAGTTCACGATCCATTGCTTTGGTGGGACGCAATGGCTGTTGTCATTCCTTGTCAACGTAGTAACTTGTTGAATTTTATCGATCCATCATCTCTTAGGGTTACCTCTTGAGAGAGTGTGGATAAGATGTAGGATAACTCATTATCTTAGCATAGACAAGGTCAGACTATGTAAGATTATGCAATGCCTGTCAGCCGCAGAACACATGAGGAAAGACCATGAATGCATGATTGGAAATGTATTCTTTTGCAGCTTTAATGCTTTATTATTTCAGCCAAAGTAAACAGGACTTGAGCTAAGTGTACAGGATGTCCTGGGTCAGTGAGTTACCTAGTGAGCTGGTATCTCGGCCGTTGGGTCTTGTTGCCCTCACTGGATTGGACACAACATACAATGCTGTTCACAAAGCCATCTGGGACTCCTTTTGCAACAACCGACGACCCGACCGAGTTCCGCTGCAGTTTAAAGTTTGCAAAGCTGATCATGAGTACCCGAAGTGCAAGCAAAAGGTGAGTATTTTTTACCAGTCATTAAACCTTTATTTACTTTTGTAACAACTGGTTCTGTAGAATTAAATCCTAGCCTGAACACCTGGGGAACCTCAGCACTGTCATGGCTAACACTGGACATCTAGCTTGGATACTCGGCGGGAACCTTAGCACTGTTGTGGCTAGTACTGGACACCTAGCTAAGACACTTGGGGAAGCTCAGCACTGTCGTGGCTAGCACTGGACAGCGAGAGGACTGGGGCCAAGACTGTCTTGGCTAGCACTGGACACCTAGCCAAGACACTTGGGGAAGCTCAGCACTGTCGTGGCTAGCACTGGACACCTAGCGAGCACTTGGGGAAGCTTAGCACTGTCGTGGCTGGCACTGGACACCTAGCCAAGACACTTGGGGAAGCTTAGCACTGTCATGGCTAGCACTGGACACCTGGGGTACCTCAGCACTGTTGTGGCTAGTACTGGACACCTGGGGAACCTCAGCACTGTCGTGGCTAGCACTCTGACCCACCAGCTCACTGGTCAGGTGTTTGTATTCCCACTCAACAATTGACATCGCTGCACTCAGGACCTTCCTTACATGCTCCATCCCCATCATCAGTAGCCGAGGAGCGATACTAACCACATCACAGATTTAATGCAAGTTTTTGTACACAAACATAATGCTAGCACCATATACCCGGCGTGCTTGGTGGTGTGGAAGAGAGGTTCTGTGGTGACTGTAGGCCTTTATGTTACTGATCCAACTGTAGTGTTGGTGGTGTTGCTAAAGCAGCAGCTCCATTATACTTTATACTTCCTGGAGAGCTGCCGTCTCCTCTTTGCCTTTCTTCCACTGTCTTGTACAAGCAAGCAATATTTTGACTATCGTGATGAAAACAAAGAGACATAAATTCTGTAGTTTTATAATTAGCTGGTATTTTTTTTAGCAGTGTGTCATTTGACTGACTTATGAACCCAAATCAGTGGCAGCTCTGATGATTGAATTGAGATCCTGAATAATAACCTGGCCAGTGTTTGTGCCACCTACTCAATAATATTCACATCTAGAATGTTTTCGGAAGGATGAAGTCACAAGGACAGCTGGCCACAAACATTGAGAAGAGATAGTCAGTAATTAAAAAAATTTTTTTTTAAACTTATTTATATCAGAAGAGAGTTGAAAGGCATAATCACTGTGTGGGTTCCAGGGCCACATTGTGAATACAAATTACTGACCGCCTAACATGTCATAAAGGTCAACTAATTAGGGGTTTCCTTTGAAATCAGAGAGTGTCTGCCTTAGAGGCAGGAACCAACAGTCTGCATACAAATAAGCCAGATCTTTAAAACAGATGTGCATGCAAAACTCAATTCTGGAACAAGACCAAAGTCCAGAAGTGGATGAACACCCAGAACTTTCCTCCAAAGTTTACAGCCAGTGAACACGAAGAAGAAAACAGGCAAACAAGAAAAAGATGATGATTTTTCATTGATATTATCTTCTGCGAAAAAAATAACTGACGGTCTTATTTTACCATTTTTGTTCCCTTTGTAGAGAACCACATATGAATGGTACATTCCCAAGGGGATTCTGAAAACCTACTGGATGCATAAACACTTGCATGAGATCCCTGCAGTGGTCGTTGTGTTCTTTGATCTGGACTGGGAGGATCCTCTTTGGAAGGAGAAACATATGGAGTGTGCCACTCGAGTGGAGATTGTCAGGTATGTTGTCTTGCTGTTGAGTGGATTCTCTAGTGGGATTAACTCATGTGAATTTTTAGTAACGGATCTTATATTTTAAGTCATGTGGCTGTTGAGTAGATTCTGTAGTGGGATTGACTCATGGGAATTGTTAGTAACGGATCTTCTTATAGTTCAAGTCATGTGGCTGTTGAGCAGATTCTCTAGTTAGATTAACTCATGTGAATTGTTAGTAACAGATCCTATAGTTCAAGTCATGTGGCTGTTGAGTAGATTCTCTAGTTAGATTAACTCATGTGAATTGTTAGTAACAAATCTTATAGTTCAAGTCATGTTGCTGTTGAGTAGATTCTCTAGTTAGATTAACTCATGTGAATTGTTAGTAACAGATCTTATAGTTCAAGTCATGTGGCTGTTGAGTAGATTCTCTAGTTAGATTAACTCATGTGAATTGTTAGTAACAGATCTTATAGTTCAAGTCATGTGGCTGTTGAGTAGATTCTCTAGTTAGATTAACTCATGTGAATTGTTAGTAACAGATCTTATAGTTTAAGTCATGTGGCTGTTGAGTAGATTCTCTAGTTAGATTAACTCATGTGAATTGTTAGTAACAGATCTTATAGTTTAAGTCATGTTGCTGTTGAGTAGATTCTCTAGTTAGATTAACTCATGTGAATTGTTAGTAACAGATCTTCTTATAGTTCAAGTCATGTGACTGTTGAGTAGATTCTCTAGTTAGATTAACTCATGTGAATTGTTAGTAACAGATCTTCTTATAGTTCAAGTCATGTGGCTGTTGAGTAGATTCTTCTAGTTAGATTAACTATGTGTAATTGTTTAGTAACAGATTCTTTGATAGTAGTCAAGTCACGTTGAATGAGAATTCGATAGTTGTCACGGGGTCTGGTGTTGTAACCACAGCCTTCCGTATATGGCTGCCATTCCTGGAGGATTTTTAAACAAGCACTGTTGAAGCCCCATCTTCAAGCACATGCACTCTGACTATGAAGGTAACATCCCTAACTAGTCGGCTCTTGCGATATGCTTGTTAGGGGGCAGTAAGTCTGTTTTTTATGTCCCAAAATGGGGCCTCATAACTGACATAGGGGATCCAAGATGTTACTTTAGCTTCTTCAGTCCCATAGTCCACCTGAAATGGTTTCAGCAAGTGAAGTGAAGGAGATGCTTCATTTCTCCTTTTATAGGAGATACCCAGTCGCAGGTAAAAGAATGAAACTCCACAGTACAGCTTGGAGGTCAACCTAGCATTTTAACATAAATCTAGAGATGTCTCCAGGGAAATAAAAGTGGTGCCTGTCAGATAAATAAAAGAAGAGCAAGAAACACAGAGAAGCGATCTAGAGATTAAGTGACCTGGGAGGACATGGAGTCAACCGCAGGAGATGGCAAAGGGTAGGAGGGCCTGGCACCAGTTAGTTGAGAGCCTATGTTCCATCACGGATTGAAGGGCAGCAAGAAAAATAAAGAAGAAATATGGTGTGTGCTGTTTATAGTGTTATTCCTGCTGTGGCATTCGGTTCCTGAAAATAGGAATCTTATCCAGTAAGTGAAGATTTTGCTCTCATGTGTTTCATTTAATGATCACATGGTAAACTGTTGCAGTACTGTGTTGCAGAAATGCACAGAGAATGGAAGTTACCACTCAGGTAGCCAGCTTTTCGTTGCATGAGCTGACCAAAAAGGAAAAGTTAGGAGACGCATCAGATGTTGTCTGGAACACTGGGGGATTAGGCGATCACAGATTGTGCATTGTTAGGACTGAAAGAGATTGTCTGAATGTTGTTTAAACAGATATTCTGCTTGACTTGATTGCTGCCTAGAAATAAACTGGGTGGTTCTGCTTATACTTTTTCTTGTGTGTCTTCTACAGAAATAGCCTGCAAGGACGCAACACAAAAATTGCTGTTGTGCTGATCCAGAAAAATGCACCTCTTCCTCCAGGTTTGCTTTTATTCTTTTGCATGGCATTAATTTATTTGCACACATACCTTTTCTTTCTTTCTTCCTTTTCTTTCTTTCTTTCCTTCTTTCTTTCTTTCTTTCTTTCTTTCTTTCTTTCTTTCTTTCTTCTTTTCTTTCTTTCTTTCTTTCTTTTCTTTCTTTCTTTCTTTCTTCTTCTTTCTTTCTTTTTCTTTCTTTCTTTCTTTCTTTCTTCTTCTTTCTTTCTTTCTTTATTTCTTTCTTTCTTTCTTTCTAGCTTTCTTTTCTTTCTTTCTTTCTTTCTTTCTTTCTTTTTTTTTTCTTATCTTTCTTCTCCCCTTTTACTTTCTATCTTTCTCTCTTTCTTAGCCTTCTTTCTTTCATGTTATATATCTTATATATCTGTCTTTCCTTGCTGTGGGTGGCGCTTTCTTTCAGTGCTTGCTTTCTTGAGCGCTTCTTTCTGTGCTTTCTTTCTTCTTGTATTTATTTCTTTCTTCTTTCTTATCTAGATCTTCCCTTCTATATATTTATATAGATAAGAATATCCTCTATATAATATATATTCTATTTTCTTTCTCTTATTTAATGATAACCTTATTATATATATTGTATATATATACATAAATATATATATATATGTATATAATATATACATGTATGTGTGTATTGTCTGTATGTGTGTGTATGTGCATACTTGTGTGTTTGAGTTTCTCATATTCCACTGATTCATCATGTTTTGTTTCCCACATGTTGCAGGTGAAGATCTGATGGCAGCAGAAAAAGCTGTCTCCTTATGTTCTTCCTGTGACATCTCGGCAAAGTCCCTCTATGTGCTGCCCCACACTGACCACCTCATTGGGTATACCATGCGGTTCGTACCATTTGTTTCACAGTCTTTGTTATCCATTTCTTTGTGTCATGCTTCTCTTCCACTATCAAATTAACATTTTCAACTGTCATACTAACATCTATCACCAACATATTAACATCTTCCACCAACATACCAGCATATTCTACCACTATCATACCACCATCTTCTACCAACATACCAACATCTTCCACCAACATACCAACATCATCTACCAATATACCAACATCTTCCACCAACATAACAACATCTTTCACCAACATCTTCCACCAACATACCAACATCTTCTACCACCATCATGCCAACATCTTCCACCAACATACCAACATCTTCTACCACCATCATACCACCATCTTCCACCAACATACTAATATCTTACACCATCAAACTACATCTTACACCATCATACTTCATCTTCCACCAACATGCTAACATCTTCTACCAACATACTAACATCTTCTACCAACATACCAACATCTTCCGCCAACATACTGACATCTTCCACCAACATATTGACATCTTTTCCAACATACTGACATCTTCTACCACCATTGTACTAACATCTCCCACCAACATACTTACATCTTTCACCATCATGCTGACATCTTCTACCACCATGATACTAACATCTTCCCCAACATACTAACATCATCTGCTAACATACTAACATCTTCCAACATCATCTTGACATCTTATACCACGATTGTACTAACATCTCTCACTGTAATACTAAGATTTTACATCACTGTTCTAAAAAATATGCCACTACGCTAACATTGTTCACCAGACTTACATCTTGTACAATTTAAATATTTCACCACAACACTAACATAGCTGTCACCATATTGACATCTTCCTCTTCTATTCCAACATCTCTGTATTTATAGACTGGAGAATAAAAACAGCCATTATCTCTCTCTTTATCGACTGGAGAATGAAAACAGCCATTATCTCTCTCTTTATAGACTGGAGAATGAAAGCAGCCATTACCTCTCTATTTATAGACTAGTGAATTAAAACAACCATTATCTCTCTATTTATAGAGTGGAGAATGAAAGCAACCATTAATATTTTTAGATGAGAATAAAAACAACCATTATCTCTATATTTAAATATTGAAGAATGAGAACAGTCGTTATCTTTATATTTATAGACTGGAGAATGAAAAAGGCTATTATCTTTATAGTTATAAACTGGAGAATGAAAGCAACCATTAAAACACAAATTGGGAGTAAAATCTAACTCATAACCATTAATATTTTTAGAATAGAGAATAAAAACAACCATTATCTCTATATTTATAGATTGAAGAATGAGAAAAGTCATTATCTTTATATTTATAGACTGGAGAATGCATTTTATGAACAAGCGCAGGCCTACTATCATCAAGAAGCTCGTAAAGTCAAGTCTCACAAGGATTTCCTAAATAAGACAACACATCAGGTATTGTTTGATGAGATATTGTTGCTGATCTGTTGTCGTTCTTGCTAAGCTGGCATGGCTGGTAAGTTGGTATTGTTGCTGATAAGTTGGCATTGTTGCTGATAGGCTGGCATTGTTGCTGATAGGCTGGTATTGTTGCTGATTAGTTGGCATTGTTGCTGATGAGTCAGTATTGTTGATGGTAAGTTGGCATTTTTATTGATAAGTTGGCATTGTTGTTGACCAGTTGTCATTGTTGCTAATAAGTTGTTGCTGATAAGTTGTTGATCTTTCTTAGTTGGGTTTGTTGCTGATATAATAGCATTATTGCTGATATGTTGTTGACAAGTTATTATTGTTGCTAATAAGTAAGTTGACATTGTTCTTGCTAAGTTGGCATTGTTGCATCATAAGTCAGCATTGTTACTTATAAGTTATCATTGTTGCTGAGAAGCTGGCATTGTTGCTGATAAGGTATCATTGTTGCTGATAAGTTATCATTGTTGCTGAGAAGCTGGCATTGTTGCTGATAAGGTATCATTGTTGCTGATAAGTTATCATTTTTGCTGATAAGGTATCATTGTTGCTGATAAGTTATCATTGTTGCTGATAAGATGTCATTGTTGCTGATAGGCTGGCATTGTTGCTGATAAGTTGGTATTGTTGTGGATAAGTTGGCATTGTTGCTGATAAGTTATCATTGTTGCTGATAAATTGGTATTGTTGCTGATAAGTTGAACTTTTAATTATCATTATTTTATTTACTATTAACATTAACATTGGTGTAAGTGCATTGTTGTTCTATACTTTCTGAATACTTGACATCCTTACAGTATTATCTGTCTCAGAGATTGTTTATAAATATCTCATCTCTATTGCCATGTCTATTTTGCAGCTTCTGTTTGTCAGGCACCAGTTCAAGTGTGCCTTCTTCAATGAGCTAAAGCAGGACTCACATACAGCTATCAAGTAAGTTCAGTTGATAAAAGAATATGAACACCCTCTTTTGATTATGGCAAAGTGCACACTTCATCGCTTGAAAAACAGATATTCACATGATCTTATACCAGCTGTCATGAATGATAATTGTACATCAGCTGACTGTTTCTTCATATTATCCTTAATTCTCTTCCTGTACTTTGCTAAGTCTTCCGTTTGCCCTATGGCCTCCAGTGCAGAAAATTTCTGATTGTTTTATTATCAGTTTTTCTTTTTTTTTTTTCACTTCCAATACCAGCGTCTTTGCCTCACCTCTTGATTAACTGGCATTTGTTTCATCTTTTTCCTCCTCTTTCACTGTCTGTAAACTCCAGCAGAAAGATCTGGTCGTTCATCCACAACTGGATTTTAATCTTTTTCAAGAATTTGAGTTTTATGTGCACATCCTTTTTACAGATATGGCTTACTTGTATGCAAACTGTTGGTTCCCACCTCTCATGTAGACATACTCTGAAGAAATGTTTCTCCTTAAGCTGTGTATGAGTGAGTCTGTGAACCAGTTGAAGTTTTTTAGCTGTACTTGTGCCATCTCATGTTTGCTGACATCTGTTGCCAGGCACTACAAGCAGGCCTATGGTTACATACTGGACCTAAGGATGCACGACACCAACATGCTGGAGATTAAGACTGTTGCTGGCTTTATCAACTACAAGGTACTGTAGCCAGGCTGTTTGTGTTGTTTTTTTTAATGTGTTTAAACTGTTGCTGGATTTATCAGCCACAATGTACTGTAGGCAGGTTGTTTGTCCGTCCCCTCCTAGCTGGTTTTTGTTGTTTTGAAAAGTGCTGCTTGTGAGATACTTTACCTCAAAAATAGGTCAGAGCATTGTCAGTGTAGGTCCACTGTAGAGGTGGGAAGTGATACATGTTCACATCTGCTAGGTCGTGGTCTGGCAATATGGGCAGAAAAACTAGTTAAAAGTACCAAATTCTTCCAGCATTTCATCTTCTAGACTATTTTTGTTCCTAATGGCTGGTCCATGAAAAAACTGAATGAAGTCTATAGTATCATTTAAAATAAAAGCCTCTTAACTTTAGAATTCAATCTTTCTTCAGTTCTAAAATTTATAGATCATTAATATAACTAAAACAAAAATTGAACAAACAATACTAAACCTAATAAAAGCTTAAAAAAAAAGTATGGGATCCATGATAGACCTTAGAAAATAAGAGGGTTTGCAAGTCCTAACTAACTGGGAACCAGTGTTGTAGACTAGGCACATGATTGTAATTAACTAACTGGGCACATGATTGTACCTTCCAGTTGTTTGATCACAGACACATCTTTTTGTTCTATGTTATAGAAATTCTGAAGCTTTCAGCACAGAAACTGCAATCCCACATTATGTAAACAAAAGTATTACCTTCTTTTTTTTTCCGTTTAAGACTTATGAGGTGATATGTACAATGTAACAAACTACTAGGCCATTTATGCATTTCAATCAGAGGAATTTTTTTTTTAGATGCTGCATTATTTGTTGGAGTTAATTCTACAGCACGCACTAGAAGAGATACAGAAAAATATACCAGGGAGTGTTTTGCTTGTATCTGCATTATTTAAGTGTCTACACAGTGAAAACATTTGATAAAAACTTAAACTTTGATTAAAAAAAAAAAAAGAAACTTTATATAATTAATGATGGTGGGTCATGCTATCATATCGGTGTTCTTGTCTCAGTTATGCCATGTGATTAAACTGTGCCAGTATGTTTGGGTCTTCACTATCCTCCCGTGCCTTGAAGTTTGTTGGTTGTCACTAAGTTTTTATGTTGACTTCTCCCAACATGTCACTGCTACATTGTTAGATCTGCCGGCTGTCCTTCCAACACAACGCACCGCTGGATGCCATAGCTCAGTTTCAGGAAGCACATTGATTTCTTCAAGTCCAAGAGTGGGATACCAGAGCTGGCCTTTGAACATAGTGCCTGGATGTCCAAACAGTGGGTGCTTCATTTATATTTGTGTCCGCTTCAACAGTGTCAATTGCATTATTAGCGCTATCAACTGTTTCACTTATATCACCATCAACTGTTTCACTTATATCACCAGCAACTGTTTCACTTGTATCACCATCAGCTTTTTCACTTGTATCATCATCAGCTGTTTCACTTGTTTCATCATCAGCTGTTTCATTTGTATAACCATCAACTGTTTCACTTGTTTTACCATCAGCTGTTTCACTTATTTCACCATCAACTGTTTCACTTGTGTCATCATCAGCTGTTTCACTTGTATCACCATCAGCTGTTTCACGTGTATCAACATTTGCTGTTTCACTTGTATCACTATCAGCTGTTTCACTTGTATCACCATCAGCTGTTTCACTTGTATTACCATCAGCTGTTTTACTTGTATTATCATCAGCTGTTTCACTTATATCAGCTGTTCCACTTGTATCACCATCAGCTGTTTCACTCGTATCACCATCAGCTGTTTCACTTGTATCACCATCAGCGGTTTCACTTGTATTATCATCAGCTGTTTCACTTGTTTTACCATCAGCTGTTTCACTTTTATTACCATTAGCTCTTTCACTTATATTACTATCAGCTGTTTCACTTGTATCACCTTCAGCTGTTTCACTTGTAGTATTATCAGATGCATAAATGTTCATGTGACTGTCTGTGTAAATATATATGTATGTGTATATGATGATTGGTTGGTAATTGTATCCCTCTGCGAGCTTTATTACAACAAAGATCTTCATGTATTCCCACTATATGAGTGACAATCAAAAGACTTTGTGTCATTGAGATGTCTCCATCATGTCCATCTCCAGCTGTAATGTTGTTGATTGTTTAGATTTCAGGTATTTGGTGACTTGTTTGACGAAGCCATCAAACTGGGACTGACGGCCATACAGACCCAGCACCCAGGCTTTTACTACCAGCAGGCAGCCAACCATGCTGTCTTTAGGAAACAGTTGTGTCAAGGCTTGTGTATGGTCAGTATCTGTGTCAAGGCTTGTGTATGGTCAGTATCTGAGTCAGGGCTTTTTGTGTATGGTCAATAGCTGTGTCAAGGCTTGTATATGGTCATTATCTGTGTCAAGACTTGTGTATGGTCAGTATCTGTGTCAGGGCTTGTGTATGGTCAGTATCTGTGTCAGGGCATGTGTATGGTCAGTATCTGTGTCAGGGCTTGTGTATGGTCAGTATCTGTGTCAAGGCTTGTGTATGGTCAGTATCTGTATCTGTATGGTCAGTATCTGTGTCAGGGCATGTGTATGGTCAGTATCTGTGTCAGGGCTAGTGTATGGTCAGTATCTGTGTCAGGGCTTGTGTATGGTCAGTATCTGTGTCAGGGCTTGTGTATGGTCAGTATCTGTGTCAGGGCTGTGTCAGTATCTGGTCAGGGCTTGTGTATCTGTGTCAGGGCATGTGTATGGTCAGTATCTGTGTCAGGGCTTGTGTATGGTCAGTATCTGTGTCAGGGCATGTGTATGGTCAGTATCTGTGTCAGGGCTAGTGTATGGTCAGTATCTGTGTCAGGGCATGTGTATGGTCAGTATCTGTGTCAGGGCATGTGTATGGTCAGTATCTGTGTCAGGGCTTGTGTATGGTCAGTATCTGTGTCAGGGCTTGTGTATGGTCAGTATCTGTGTCAGGGCATGTGTATGGTCAGTATCTGTGTCAGGGCTAGTGTATGGTCAGTATCTATGTCAAGGCATGTGTATGGTCAGTATCTGTGTCAGGGCTAGTGTATGGTCAGTATCTATGTCAAGGCATGTGTATGGTCAGTATCTGTGTCAAGGCTTGTGTATGGTCAGTATCTGTGTCAGGGCTAGTGTATGATCAGTATCTGTGTCAAGGCTTGTGTATGGTCAGTATCTGTGTCAGGGCATGTGTATGGTCAGTATCTGTGTCAGGGTATGTGTATGGTCAGTATCTGTGTCAAGGCTTGTGTATGGTCAGTATCTATGTCAAGGCTTGTGTATGGTAAGTATCTGTGTCAGGGCTTGTGTATGGTCAGTATCTGTGTCAAGGCTTATGTATGGTCAGTATCTGTGTCAGGGCTTGTGTATGGTCAGTATCTGTGTCAAGGCTTGTGTATGGTCAGTATCTGTGTCAGGGCTTGTGTATGGTCAGTATCTGTGTCAGGGCTTGTGTATGGTCAGTATCTGTGTCAGGGCTTGTGTATGGTCAGTATCTGTGTCAGGGCTTGTGTATGGTCAGTATCTATGCCAGGGCTTGTGTATAGTCAGTATCTGTGTCAGGGCTTGTGTATGGTCAGTATCTATGTCAAGGCTTGTTTATGGTCAGTATCTATGCCAGGGCTTGTGTATGGTCAGTATCTGTGTCAGGGCTTGTGTATGGTCAGTATCTATGCCAGGGCTTGTGTATGGTCGGTATCTGTGTCAGGGCTTGTGTATGGTCAGTATCTGTGTCAGGGCTTGTGTATGGTCAGTATCTGTGTCAGGGCTTGTGTATGGTCAGTATCTATGCCAGGGCTTGTGTATGGTCAGTATCTATGTCAAGGCTTGTTTATGGTCAATATCTGTGTCAGGGCATGTATATGGTCAGTATATGTGTCAGGGCTTGTGTATGGTCAGTATCTGTGTCAGGGCTTGTTTATGGTCAGTATCTGTGTCAGGGCTTGTGTATGGTCAGTATCTATGTCAAGGCTTGTTTATGGTCAATATATGTGTCAAGGCTTGTTTATGGTCAGTATATGTGTCAGTTGTCATGTTTTATTTATATGGTTGGGATCTGTGTCAGAGATTGCATCTGTGTAATTTATGTAGATATTATGCCTTTTAAATGTAGTGTATGTTTCATTCATATGTGTAATGCCTGTGTCAGTCACCAACGCATCCTGACCCACACAGAGCACAGGGGACACTTGGCTAGTTGCTGCTGTCTCCATAACAGATGCTTTAATGACAGTTTCTCTAGAGGTGGGACAGGGTAATTAGGATTTGACCTGTAATTTACCATCTGGTATGTGAACCTTTAAAGGTACTGGGAGAAGCTGCCCAGAGAGGGAAGAAAACAGACAGTCTGGTGTTCCTAATCATGTGTAGTTTATTTTCACAAGGAGGCTTCTCTCAAGAACTGAAGTAAATATTTTAAACTGTTTCAGTGACATCCAGTTTTGTCTTTCTTTGATGGATTCACTGTTGGCTTGGTTCCACACAAGTTCCCCCTTCCCAATAAAGTGAATGCAATCCTCAGGAACATAATCTGCCTGTACATTCCTCCTGCACCAACTGCTGTTCTCATTAAAGTGACATTTCAGTAACACAATTTGCCTGTACAGTTACACCTGAACTAATTTATGCATGTCTCTAATTCCTCTTGTTCTTCTTCTTTTTTTTCATTCAAATTAAAGGCTCTTCTTCCATGTCTTTGAATAGTTATTTCTTAACTGCATTTCACTATTTGCTTGATTCATACACCAAAACCAGATATTTCTTAACTGCATCTCACTAATTGCTTGACTCATTCATCAAAACCAGATATTTCTGAACTGCATCTCACTATTTGCTTGACTCATACATCAAAACCAGATATTTTTGCGTTGACACATTTGTTTGTTTGTTTTTGTTTGACAGCAGCCGCAGGAGATGAAAAGTGCTGAAGTCGTGGCTGAGTTTCTGGGCCCTGTAGAGTTTTATGGCCAGAGAAAATGGAGACAAGGTCACCAGAGTAAGTTTAGCCTGGGAAGGGAGGGGGGGGGGGCGTTTGATGCCTGCTGTTAACTCAGAAGTTGCCATCTTAGAGCTGTCAAATGTTTGCAAGAGGCTCACCTCAAGAAGGGAGGGGTTGGAAGTGTTGATAACCTGCTGCCAACTCAAGACGTTGCCATCTTAGAGCTGTCAAATGTTTGCAAGGGGCTCACCTCAGGAAAGCAGGGGTTGGAAGTGTTGATAACCTGCTGCCAACTCAAGATGTTGCCATCTTAGAGCTGTCAAATCTTTGCAAGTGGCTCACCTCAAGAAGGGAGGGGTTGGAAGTGTTGATAACCTGCTGCCAACTAAAGACATTGCCATCTTAGAGCTGTCAAATGTTTGCAAGGGGCTCACCTCAGGAAAGGAGAAACACAGCAGATCCCTGATGCTGGCTGCACACATAAAAAAAAAATTTAAAAAGTATAGCCGTTTGACATTGCCAAGAGTTAACAATAAAGCCACTGTCCTTGCAGAATTTAAGTGGTTGTTTTGTTGTTTGTTGTTTTTCATCTCTTTGGGTACCAGAAAACTCATCATGCATATAGCATTGATTTGTAACTAATTTAGCTATCCTCTGTCCTCTGGTACTGCAAGAGTTGTGAATACTTAACAAACTCACTGCCCCCCCCCCCCCTCTCCCTATCAACAAGCGTGTCGTAACAGTAGACTAATTAGGCATTAGTTTCCTTCAGAGTCAGAGTGCATCTGCCTGAGAGATGAGGAACCAACAGTCTGCACACAAATAAACCAGATATATAACCAATGTGCAGGCAGAACTCAAGCTCTGGAACAGGATCAAGTATAGAAGTGGACGAACAACGAGAACTTTCCGCAAGAGTTTACAGCTGGTGAATGCACAGAAGATGAGAGAGTCTACACACTCTAACCCAAAGTCCAGGAGAAGAAATAGTGAGTGCTACGGGTGTAGTACAGCTGACGACAGGGACACCCGTCTGGACTTGACTGTACTTAGCTTGGCTTGACTGTGCTTAGCTTAACTTGACTTCTTGACTGTGTTTAGCTTGATTTGACTGTGTTAGCTTAACCTGACTGTGTTTAGCTTGACTTGACTGTGCTTAGCTCAACTGTTTAGCCTCACTTGACTTGACTGTAGCTGTTGCTGTTGCGCAGATCATGAATGATACTAAACATTTTCTGTTGGGTCAGGTATTGAGCCTCCAGATCTGCAGGTGGAAAGAGAAGGAATTCTGGCCTTGCAGACCAAGGAGAGACAAGTCGACCATTCTGTAAGTGATGAGCCCTGCCATCGTGTCATTGATAGACTGTAGTCCAGTGGCTAATAGATTTGCCTCTTGTGACGGGAAGCTTATCTAGGGAGGTTTGGATATATTTGTCATCTGTATGTATAGGAAACATTCGGAAGTGGTGAAACAAGGTCAGGAGGCTGTTTCTGACAAGTATGTTTTTCATGTTTTGGCCTCACATGTAAACCATTATAGGTGTCTCGGTGAAGATTCTGTGGATGTGTGGATTAGAGTGAAATTGAACCTTGTACCTTTTAGTTTAATATATTTCATGTCCACACTGTCTGTTTCATTGTTATCTGAGTCTTTAACTGTTTACGTTGAATGCATCTTTGATGTTTTATTATATATTCATATCCCACATGCATGTCTCCTTGAAAGTGTGACTAGAGGAAAGTAAAATATGAACGGAATAAGTACAGAAACGCACAGTGAGTTAGGGATAAGTACAGAAACACACAGTGAGTTAGGGATAAGTACAGAAACACAGTGAGTCAGGGATAAGTACAGAAACACACAGTAAGTTAGGGATAAGTACAGAAACACACATTGAGTCAGGCTGAAAAGTTAGGGTTGTTTATTCACTTTTTGTTGTTGGTTTTGCTCCAGGACTTGTTTTGCGTACATATATTTTAAAGATCTGGCTTGATTGTGTGCAGACAGTTGGTTCCTTGCTTCTTAGGCAGATGTACTCCTTTAGTCACCTTTTATAACATGCTTGTTGGGGACAAGGGGTATCCCCCTCCCCCACGCCCCTCCAAATGGGGCCCTGAAACCACAAGAGAAGTCAGTCAAGAAAAACAAAGTAGAACTGGTACTTGACTTTTTGTATTCATGCAGCCTCACTCCACTTCGACCCATCTCATTTCCCAAACTCAAACAAATACATAGATCTGAATTGAAGAACTATTTTCTTACAGTGGCTGATTATCCCGCTCCTGAGCAGTGCAGTGGCCCAGTTCCGCAAATACAAGTCTCCTCGAATGAAACGGTTCTTGAGTAAGTTTAAGTTTGATGCAATTGAAAGTTCTGATTCATTGTTCCAGCCAGTGCCAGTCGGTTTGTTACATTGTGCCGTAGAAATAGTATGTCATTTTTGTTATGGCTATTGTGAAATTGTTCAGTGTGGCTGTAATAGAACAGTGAGCTTCAGTCAAATAACTGGTTTCTGAGTGCATAGACCATCATGCACTTGTTAACAGATACATATCAATTTGTGGGGATGAAATGTTGACTGACTGACTGGGCTCATGAAGGAGCAGATAATAGTAGCACTTATTTGTGAATTTAATGAATGCAGACCAAACGGTACCTTGCACAATTTATTACCTGGCATATTCCACTGTATCTTATCAGGTTCCTTGCCACAAAGTTTACAACAACATGTATTGAAGCATAAAAAAGTCAATTTTTTCCACTGTGTTGAGTTGCGTTGAGTCAAGAATTGACCTCACAGCACTCGGGGCATTCCCATATGGGCTCTGTCCTCATCTTCAGCAGCTAGTGTAGAGTTCCAGCACTAATGGTACCGGTCGTAATCTGGTTATATGTCCGTCTTGCCTTTTCCCTAAGTGTAGTGAGCCGGCCAGACCCTCTGGTTACACCCAGGTGCCTCATTCTCTCCAGGCCATAATAATCTTATTTTTCTACTGATTCTGCTGCTTATTCCCAAAGAGCTTTGACCACATTTGTCTTGTCACGTATCAATTTGCCTCCCAGTGGTGCAAATCCAGCCAATCTGTCTGCCTGTTCATTCCCCACCATGCCAGCATGGCCTGGAGAAAAGATCCAAAGTATGCTCACTACCCGTGACCTTCCCTGTGAAGCTTGCTAGTCAGCTCGAAGCATCCCTGTCTTGACCTTTCTCAGCATGCTATCAGAGTCTGTTGCAATTACAACATGTGTATGCATCTTGTTCTCTAGCCACCGGAAAGCTGCAGTGACCGCCTTCACCTCCATTCTTATGCTAGACTAGGCTATCCTGCACTAAAAATTTTGCTATGAACCCCCAGGCACTTCTCTTTCTCTCAATACCAAACCATCTGTATGATACTTGGATCATCTGGGCGAGAATTGTTGTGAATCAACTGTTGGACTTCCACCTCTGTAGCACCCACTGGCCACTCTCTTTTCCTCTGGTACTCCTCTCCTCGACCAATGTTCTCCAGAGTGCATGCTTGTCTTTTTGTGTCTTCTGCTAGAGCCATCCACGATTTTCCCCCTTTTCAGCCTTTGACCATTACCTGCAGCCAAAGCTTCATACAGAGGGTGTTTTTGTCTGCAGCTACTCCAAAACATGACTGAGCCTGCAGCACCTTTAGCCTATCTGCAATAGTTGGCAATGCAAGGATGTATTGCATGCAGACAGTCAGGCTATCTCTTTTACATCCCAGGATCACCTGCATAGCTTCATTTTGTGTGCGCTCCAGTTTCTCTAGCTGACTCTTCAAGAGTAACCCCAATCCATAATCAATCACTGAGATGATTAAGTGCCGGTAAAGTATGAACAACATTCTCTGCTCCATGTCCATTGTTGCCATAATTTGTAGTGAGAATTTGTTCTTCTGAGATGCGCAAATCACATTATCTTTCTCGAGCTACTGAAAACACATGTCATATATCTGTATGTAGATTATTTTTAAGGTAAGTATACTATTATAGTCAAGTGTCGTTATTGTTGATGACACTTTGTAATGTTGTGAATGGATGTTGTGAATGGTCAGCATGTTTTATCTGAGTTGTGAATGGTCAGCATGTTTTATCTGAGTTGTGAATGGTCAGCATGTTTTATCTGAGTTCTGAATGGTAAACATGTTTTATCTGAGTTGTCAATGGTAAACATGTTTTATCTGAGTTGTGAATGGTAAACATGTTTTATCTGAGTTGTGGATGGTAAACATGTTTTATCTGAGTTGTGAATGGTAAACATAATTTATCTGAGTTGTGAATGGTAAACATGTTTTATCTGAGTTGTGAATGGTAAACATGTTTTATCTGAGTTGTGAATGGTAAACATGTTTTATCTGAGTTGTGAATGGTAAACATGTTTTATCTGAGTTGTGGATGGTAAACATGTTTTATCTGAGTTGTGAATGGTAAACATGTTTTATCTGAGTTCTGAATGGTAAACATGTTTTATCTGGGTTGTGGATGGTCGTTTTATCTGAGTTGTGAATGGTAAACATGTTTTATCTGAGTTCTGAATGGTAAACATGTTTTATCTGAGCTGTGGATGGTCGTTTTATCTGAGTTGTGAATGGTAAACATGTTTTATCTGGGTTGTGAATGGTAAACATGTTTTATCTGAGTTCTGAATGGTAAACATGTTTTATCTGAGCTGTGGATGGTCATTTTATCTGAGTTGTGAATGGTCAGCATGTTTTATCTGAGTTGTGAATGGTCAACATGTTTTAACTGAGTTGTGAATGGTCAACATGTTTTATCTGAGTTGTAAATGGTCAACATGTTTTATCTGAGTTGTAAATGGTCAACATGTTTTATCTGAGGTCTGGATAGTCAACATGTTTTATCTGAGTTGTGAATGATCAACATGTTTTATCTGAGTTGTGAATGATCAACATGTTTTATCTGAGTTGTGGATAGTCAACATGTTTTATCTGAGTTGTGGATAGTCAACATGTTTTATCTGAGTTGTGAATGGTCAACATGTTTTATCTGAGTAGTGAATGATCAACATGTTTTATCTGAGTTGTGAATGATCAACATGTTTTATCTGAGTTGTGGATAGTCAACATGTTTTATCTGAGTTGTGGATAGTCAACATGTTTTATCTGAGTTGTGAATGGTCAACCACATGTTTTATCTGAGTTGTGAATGGTCAACCACATGTTTTATCTGAGTTGTGAATGGTCAACCACATGTTTTATCTGAGTTGTGAATGGTCAGCATGTTTTATCTGAGTTGTGAATGGTCAGCATGTTTTATCTGAGTTGTGAATGGTCAGCATGTTTTATCTGAGTTCTGAATGGTAAACATGTTTTATCTGAGTTGTCAATGGTAAACATGTTTTATCTGAGTTGTGAATGGTAAACATGTTTTATCTGAGTTGTGGATGGTAAACATGTTTTATCTGAGTTGTGAATGGTAAACATATTTTATCTGAGTTCTGAATGTTAAACATGTTTTATCTGAGTTGTGAATGGTAAACATGTTTTATCTGAGTTGTGAATGGTAAACATGTTTTATCTGAGTCGTGAATGGTAAACATGTTTTATCTGAGTTGTGGATGGTAAACATGTTTTATCTGAGTTGTGAATGGTAAACATGTTTTATCTGAGTTCTGAATGGTAAACATGTTTTATCTGGGTTGTGGATGGTCGTTTTATCTGAGTTGTGAATGGTAAACATGTTTTATCTGAGTTCTGAATGGTAAACATGTTTTATCTGAGCTGTGGATGGTCGTTTTATCTGAGTTGTGAATGGTCAGCATGTTTTATCTGAGTTGTGAATGGTCAACATGTTTTATCTGAGTTGTGAATGGTCAACATGTTTTAACTGAGTTGTAAATGGTCAACATGTTTTATCTGAGTTGTAAATGGTCAACATGTTTTATCTGAGTTGTAAATGGTCAACATGTTTTATCTGAGTTGTGGATAGTCAACATGTTTTATCTGAGTTGTGAATGATCAACATGTTTTATCTGAGTTGTAAATGGTCAACATGTTTTATCTGAGTTGTGGATAGTCAACATGTTTTATCTGAGTTGTGGATAGTCAACATGTTTTATCTGAGTTGTGAATGATCAACATGTTTTATCTGAGTTGTGGATAGTCAACATGTTTTATCTGAGTTGTGAATGGTCAACCACATGTTTTATCTGAGTTGTTAATGGTCAACCACATGTTTTATCTGAGTTGTGAATGGTCAACCACATGTTTTATCTGAGTTGTGAATGATCAACATGTTTTATCTGAGTTGTGAATGATCAACATGTTTTATCTGAGTTGTGAATGGTCAGCATGTTTTATCTGAGTTGTGAATGGTAAACATGTTTTATCTGAGTTGTGAATGGTCAGCATGTTTTATCTGAGTTGTGAATGGTAAACATGTTTTATCTGAGTTGTGAATGGTCAACATGTTTTATCTGAGTTGTGAATGGTCAGCATGTTTTATCTGAGTTGTGGCTTGTACATGTTTCACAATTTCCTGCAGTGGTACAGATGGGCGAAGAGTACTATCATGCCAAGGATTATGTCAAAGCTTTGATGTAAGTTTGTTTGTTTTTATTATAGAATACATCTATTTCAATTGTTTATGTCACTATGGAGAATTAAGGATTTGATATTGAAAAGTTGATTGAAGTAAACTAGGCATTGCTGACCATGGCTTGAGATGTATTGAATAGTAGATAGAAGTAAGCAAGGCATTGCTGACCATGGCTTGAGATGTATTGAACATTAGATAGAAGTAAGCAAGGCATTGCTGACCATGGCTTGAGACGTATTGAAAAGTAGATAGAAGTAAGCAAGGCATTGCTGACCATGACTTGAGATGTATTGAACAGTAGATAGAAGTAAGCAAGGCATTGCTGACCATGACTTGAGATGTATTGAACAGTTGGTAGAAGTAAGCAAGGCATTGCTGACCATGGCTTGAGATGTATTGAACAGTTGGTAGAAGTAAGCAAGACATTGCTGACCATGGCTTGAGATGTATTGAACAGTTGGTAGAAGTAAGCAAGACATTGCTGACCATGGCTTGAGATGTATTGAACATTAGATAGAAGTAAGCAAGGCATTGCTGACCATGGCTTGAGATGTATTGAACAGTAGATAGAAGTAAGCAAGGCATTGCTGACCATGGCTTGAGATGTATTGAACAGTAGATAGAAGTAAGCAAGGCATTGCTGACCATGGCTTGAGACGTATTGAAAAGTAGATAGAAGTAAGCAAGGCATTGCTGACCATGGCTTGAGATGTATTGAACATTAGATAGAAGTAAGCAAGGCATTGCTGACCATGGCTTGAGATGTATTGAACATTAGATAGAAGTAAGCAAGGCATTGCTGACCATGGCTTGAGACATATTGAAAAGTAGATAGAAGTAAGCAAGGCATTGCTGACCATGGCTTGAGGTGTATTGAACAGTTGGTAGAAGTAAGCAAGGCATTGCTGACCATGGCTTGAGGTGTATTGAACAGTTGGTAGAAGTAAGCAAGACATTGCTGACCATGGCTTGAGGTGTATTGAAAAGTTGGTAGAAGTAAGCAAGACATTGCTGACCATGGCTTGAGGTGTATTGAACAGCTGGTAGAAGTAAGCAAGGCATTGCTGACCATGGCTTGAGGTGTATTGAACAGTTGGTAGAAGTAAGCAAGACATTGCTGACCATGGCTTGAGGTGTATTGAACAGTTGGTAGAAGTAAGCAAGGCATTGCTGACCATGGCTTGAGATGTATTGAACAGTTGGTAGAAGTAAGCAAGACATTGCTGACCATGGCTTGAGATGTATTGAGCCTGTAAAGCTAGCTCCAGATTTGTAGAGATCCTTCAGCTCTCAACAAATCATGTGGTCAGTATGCCACCTTTACTTCCCAGAACATATTTCTGGTGCCCATTTTAGGTTTCGTTGACTCTGAGGCCAAGGTCAGTGATACAATCTGTTCCTAAAAGTATTTGAACCTATAATTACAAAAGATTGGGGGGGGGGGGGGGGGGGGGCGAGTCTGATGAAAATGGGTACCAGATAAGTTCCAGAATTATTGGATGAATGTCAGGTGAGGAGAGAGGGAGCTGAACACTAAATCCCATCAGTCTTGGGCTAGAATGTGTGAGGACCTAAACTTCCCACCTTAGAGGCCATATCTGCTGTGAGATGATCTTTACCAGCAATGCCTTGGAAATGGCTGGCTGGCCACCTGCTGAGAGTATCTCACAAAGCATTAACTGTAGCTCCAACTGCAGTCCCTAGAAACTAAAAAAAAAACAAAAATTGCACTCATGAACCAAAAACAAAACAAGAATGCAGAACAAATGGCTTGACTATTTCACCACGGAGGTTCCCTATCAGCATGTGGATTGCTGCATTTGACAGGAGAATGGGAGCTGTAGAGGGTTGCCACACAGTTCCTTACTCCACTACCTCTTGCATCCAAACTATCTTACACGTACATACCAGTATAGGTGAAAAATAAAGTATGTATGCAATGGCTCTGCAACTCTCACCCAAGAGGGTTCCCACATTAAACTACCACGCCAAAACCTGACAGGGGATGTTTTAAAATCAGCACCCATAAATGGGACATCTGGCTGCGGCCAGCATTACTGGGTCTGAAAAAACATCCCTCGAAACAAGGCTGCTCAATGCCCCGGCTCGGCAGTCTCTACTGGCATCTTTGTCAATCTGGGGGTGCTTAGGTGGACTGTGTCACTGAGTTTACTAGTGACGTCACAAGGCATGTAACATCATTTCCTTATTCCACAGGTGACAGTGACAGCATACTTATAATAACACTATTGTAAAGAAGATAATATCAACACTACCAATTCAAAAAACTAGCAGCAATACAGCTATAGATAAAGTAACCTCTGTCGTTTAACTCCATAATTATACTTTCTTTACACACAAAGAAGCAGTCACAACATTATTGACTAAGCTGCAAACATATTTCTATGAATTCTTCAGTCAAACTGCTAATCTAGCTGTCACTAACATAAAACATCTAAGTCATAGCAAAACCCAAATGTCATGTCAACAGAGTTTAACCGTCCCTCTCAGCCTTCCAACAGCTGTCCTTCCCCCTGGCAAGTGAGCCAGGTTTTTCCTGCATTAGAGGTAATTCTTCACGCAAACCTTGCGGCAGTTCAGCATGACTAGTCTTTCTGTTCTCCCAGCTGTCTGTGTATGGAGAGCTCCAGTCAGCTAGCATTTGTCAGTCAGCAACTATCATCATATACACACACACAAACATAGCCACAAAGTCTCTGACAAGGGACCATGTCACTCACACCAGTCGTTAAGCTCTTGATGATGATAACATTGATAATATAAGGATAATATCGATGAGTATGTAGTTCATTCATTCATTCAGTAGCATGTCCCTCGCGGAACCTCGCTGCCATAACAACCCTCCGGAAAACCTTCCTATCCTGAGCAAGATGTCCTGCGTCTGATACACCCATCTGGAGATCATCTGTCACATCCTGCACCCATCTTCTCCTTGGCCTTCCTCTTCCTCTCTTCCCAGGCATATACCCCTCCATTATTGTTCTCTCTAGACTTCCATGACGTTTCAAGTGACCAAAATATTTCAATTTTCTTTGTTTTATTGTCTTTACTAGCCAACCCTCTTCAATATTCAGCTCTTGAAGTATGGATGCATTTGTTCTTTTCTTTACCCAAGATATTCTTAGAACCTGTCTGTAACATTTATATTCAAATGCATTTATGCGCTGTTCCGCTTGTTTAGTAAGTGTCCAGGTCTCACAGGCGTATGTTGCAATGGGAAAGATGCATGCTCTTAAAAATCTGACCTTTGTAATTCTATCGAGTATGTAGTACAATAATGATAATATTGATGAGTATGTAATCCATAATTTGCTATATCTGTCATCAGTGAGAGTTATATTCTATTGTATTTGCCTGCTGAAATCAATGAGTTATTTTATTTTGTGTTTGCATTCTGAAATCAATGATAGTTATATTCTCTTGTGTTTGCTTGCTGAAATCAGAGTTATATTCTCTTGTGTTTGCATGCTGAAATCAATGAGAGTTATATTCTTTTGTGTTTGCATGCTGAAATTAATGAGAGTTATATTCTCTTGTGTTTGCATGCTGAAATCAATGAGAGTTATATTCTTTTGTGTTTGCATGCTGAAATTAATGAGAGTTATATTCTCTTGTGTTTGCATGCTGAAATCAATGAGAGTTATATTCTCTTGTGTTTTGCATGCTGAAATCAATGAGAGTTATATTCTCTTGTGTTTGCCAGCTAAAATTAATGAGAGTTATATTCTCTTGTGTTTGCCTGCTGAAATCAATGAGAGTTATATTCTCTTGTGTTTGCATGCTGAAATCAATGAGAGTTATATTCTCTTGTGTTTGCCAGCTAAAATTAATGAGAGTTATATTCTCTTGTGTTTGCCTGCTGAAATCAATGAGAGTTATATTCTCTTGTGTTTGCATGCTGAAATCAATGAGAGTTATATTCTCTTGTGTTTGCCAGCTAAAATTAATGAGAGTTATATTCTCTTGTGTTTGCCTGCTGAAATCAATGAGAGTTATATTCTCTTGTGTTTGCCTGCTAAAATTAATTAGGGTTATATTCTCTTGCGTTTGCCTGCTGATTTTAGTGAGAGTTAAATTCTCTTGTGTTTTTAAGCCTGCTGAACAAAGTGATGTGGGACTACAGAGCTGAGAGGTGGTGGAAGCTTCTGACATCAATTCTAGAAACCTCTCTCAAATGTGCGTACTTAACAGCCAAAGTCCCCGAGTATGTCTCCAATTGCATGGAGCTCATCGGAAGGTGTATCCTTTATTATAATATAAGTGTCTTTATCTTTTTATACCATGGGGCAATCTGATTATGTTAATGGGGGATCCTTCTCGGTTGCTTATCAGTGTCATGTCAGCTTTTGTAGGTAGGAAGATACAGGGCAGCAAAGGTGAGATCTTTATTGTGAAGTAGGTCAGAGGTTTCAGTGTCTCTCTCTGGCTCAAACAGATGTGATTTGTCTCGTTGATTTAACAGTTTAAATTGTTACAAAATAGAAAGGCTTGTGTTCTTTCTCCTGATTCTTAGGTAGTGGATCAGACATCTAGCCTTCTTTGACAAAGGCCAGCTGGGGAGCTTATTGTCTCAGCTAATGCTTTAGACATAGACAATGAAGATACCTGTGGAGAAGTTATAGGGGAAGAAGTTAACTTAAAAACTTGGTGACAGCTGGTAAAATTGATGGAGGAAAAGCAAGAAGACAAAGCAATAAATATATGTATAGCTCACAGGTGTAATTGACACAAGTAAACAGCCCCTGTACAGGATTGATGATAGTGTGAGGTGGCAAACCTTGGCCAGGCACACTCATAGGCAAGCCACATGATGATGATATATTGAAGGATCCTTTCTACACCAGGGCACATCAGGCATGTGACCTTCCACTTCAGCTTTGTAAGTCCATGAGGTTAATTGCTGCAAGTGATCACTGTTCATTGAAATATCATCGTCACCACACATCAGACATGACCATAAGTGCTCCAATCTCCTCCTGAATATGTCTCCAAAATGCCAGTGATTAGTAGTGATTTAAATATTTCATTGCTAAGAAAGGAACAGGCTTCTTCAGAAAACAATCAACATACAAATAATTGCATTAAATAGCTTAGCTACTATAGAACACAGTATAACGGTACAATAAAGTTTGGCCTGCTTGTTATGCTGACTATGATTGATGCCATTTATGGTACTAGAAGTGATTCAGCCTGAGACTGTTGCCCATAAAAGAGAGAGAGAGAGAGAGTTTGACTTAACCAGGTCCAGGTTCCCAGTGTAGTCAGGATGAAAAAGAGAGGATCCAGATGAACTTGATCAAGGTCATATCTGTAAGTTGGTTGTCTTGTTTGTACTGTTCTCTAATGAACTTGATCAGGAAGATACCTGTAAGTTGGTAGTCTTGTCTGTAGTATTCTCTGGTGAGCTTGATCAGTATGATATTTGTAAGCTGATTGTTTTGTTTGTAGTGTTCTCACATGAACTTGATCAGAATGCTATTTGTTAGCTGAGTGTCTTGTTTTAGTGTTCGAAGATGAACTTGATCAGCTGTACTACCAGATACAAACATTATCAAGGCTCAGATATTGAACGAGAGTTGAAACACGGCCTTCCAAGGATGAACCAACTTACAGCTTGTAAATCAATTCTCCCTGCCTACATGAACTATGTCAGACTGTTGTTCCATCAGATAACTGTTTTCCACATTGTATATTAGGCATTTGTCTTAATGCTAAGTAAAAATGAGAGTCGCTGTGGCCGAGCGGCTAGATACTCGCCGCCGATGGGAAGGTCGTGGAAGCAGGACTTTTTAAAAATGTGATCTTGGCTCCCCGGTCGACCCAGTCTTGAGTGGGTACCAGTTGCAGTCCCGGGAAGTAAAGGTGGCCGGCGTGATGCTGACCATATCATCCATCTTGTGCCAAATGGTCTATAAAAATATAGGTCTAGCCCTGTACGCCTAAAAGCCTGTTAAAGGGTCTTTTACTTTTTTACTATTTTTTAGTAAGTAAAAATGTTTTGTAATTTGGTGACCATTTCACAGTAATTAGAGCCGGTTATCTTACATTACCTTATGTATATATAAGTTCACCACATTATTGCTTGACACATCAACTAGTTGTGTGGACAGTTTTTCCAAAACTCGATACAAGGGAAGAGAAGATAAGGCAGGCCAGGAAAGACCTTGATCCAAAAGCTAGTAAACTGGACTTGCCTTAAACACAAAAACATCATATCCAGTTCATCTGAATACTAGAAAAAAAAACCTGATCAGTCACCATTCATGTGGTGACCTAATGACACACGTGTTATGGGACCATTGATAGACATTTGTTTGTGTGTACACTGATATTTTACTTCTGCAGCATGAAATGCCAGATCCAGAGCCAGGCTTGGACCAGAGCTGCGTGGAGAAAGCTCATGCACTGTGGACAGAACTACGATCCCAGCCTGTTATTTTCACCATTGAAATGCAAGGCTTAATTCCCTTTAGTAAGTATCTGAGAACATAGTCAGTGCTGGGTTAGCTGTCCTTAGTCTAGCAGTATCTGCCAGCAGGCTTTCATTTCAATAGCTCCAACTCTTTTTACTTATCTTCCCTTTTGTTTCCCTTCTTCCTTTACTTCCTCTTCTACTGTGAGATTGATGCAGTCTGGTGAGATTGATGGGGGGGGGGGGGGGGGGGGAGTGACGAGAGGTTCTGGCAGATGCTCGAGGCTCAAGGGAAAGGCAAGACGGACGTATAATCAGAATGCTACTGGCACCATTAATATCGGAACTCTTCGCTGGCTGCTGAAGATGGGGACGGAGCACTTATGGGAATGCTTTGAGTACTGTGATGTCGGTTCTTGAATCAAATTAATCAATCAAATCTTCTACTGTGTTTTCTTCTTTAAAAAATAAAAAGACTTATTTTAAGATTACTATTCTGTTTTGATGGCAACAAGTTAAAAAAGAACTAGAGGAAATGACAGACATTGTGGTAGTAGAAAGTGGAAGAATGGGCCTCAGTTTGAAAAATGGAAAGACAGAAATAATGGTGGTATCAAAGAAAAGAGTTATTCCAAAATGTGTAATAAAAGTCAGTGGTGTTATTTTGGGGCAAGTACAGAAATTTAAGTATTTGTGACATGGATAACATCACATGGAAGGTGTCAAACAGAGATAAGAAACGGAATGTGGCAGGCAAAAACTTAATTTTATAAAATGAAGAACATCTTAAGCAGTATGTCTCTGTCACTGAAGGTTAAAAAACAAATTCTTGCTTGCTACATACATCCAGTTTTAACATATGGCTGTGAGTCCTAGACAATCGGTAGGCAGGCCAAACAATTTCTTGAGGCCTCAGAGATGGGGTTTTATTGAAGAATGCTTAAAATACCTTGGACAGCCAAAAATAGCAACTAAGAGGTTTTGAAAAAGGCGGTAGCCCGAAGACAACTTATCGCAGACATCAGAAGGAGACAGTCATCATTTTTCGGCTATGTTATGAAAAGAGAGAAAATGGAACATGTTGTGACCACTGGACCACTGGAAAAATCTGGGGAAGGAGGGATAGAGGAAGACAGTGAGAGAAGATGTTGCATGGCATAGAGGTATATCAGCACATGAAGTGATACTTGCTGCAGGAGATTGCAGATTGTGGAGATGTATGATCTCCCACACCAGTGGGCAAGGCACCTGACGATGATTCTGTCTTTTAATCAGTTATATTATTTTTAAAGAATGCTGAAGATGGGGATAGAGCATTTGTGGGAATGCCAGAGTGATGTATTGTTGGTCTTAACTCTTGACAGTAAACTAAAACTTGCAAATTGAAAAACAAAAGGGCTGGCACAGAGAAAACTCATGTGTTTAAAACATAAATAAGTAAATTTAGAATGAGAACTTTGTTAAATTTAGAACAAGAACTTTGTAAAATTTAGAATGAGAACTTTGTTAAATTTAGAATAAGAACTTTGTAAAATTTAGAATAAGAACTTTGTTAAATTTAGAATGAGAATTTTGTTAAATTTAGAATGAGAACTTTGAGACAAGTTGTGTTTATTCTCTACAGTTGAAACAAAGGCTTGTTTTGGTGATGAACTTGTCTCTGCTGACCATAAAGTCACTCTGGAAGTTTGTCTCAGGTAATCTAATACTCCAGGTCTAATACTCCAAGTCTAACACTCCAAGTCTAACACTCCAAGTCTAACACTCCAAGTCTAACACTCCAAGTCTAACACTCCAAGTCTAACACTTAAGTCTAACACTCCAAGTCTAACACTCCAAGTCTAACACTCCAAGTCTAACACTCCCAGTCTAACACTCCAAGTCTAACACTCCCAGTCTAACACTCCAAGTCTAACACTCCAAGTCTAACACTCCAAGTCTAACACTCCAAGTTGCTAATGGGACATTACATGTTGGCTGTCGGAAAGTCCTTGTCTAATGGATCGTAAATTCTGTGTTGTTAATGAGAAATTCTGTGTTTTTGTTGTTGAAAGTGTACGTTAATGATGGCAAATATTACTAAGTCAGGTACTTATTTCCGTGTCTTGAGGGGTGTTGACCATAAAGGGCTGGCCCCCATATGTTTGAAGACCAGTGGCCACTCAGTGAGGGCTTGGCTTTTTCTGTCCTGGTCATTTTCATATGGCATAGTTTGTTGTTTTGATTTGGTATATATGAGCAGCAGAAAAATACTGACATTCTGACAGATCTGAACATCAAAGAACATTGGCTGCTAAACAGCATCTTGTCTCAGAAGCTGAAATATTGTGGTCGTATCAAATGCCACCAAGGATAATAAAAAATAATAGCAGAAAGTATGATGCCAGGAAGAAGGGACAGAGGCTGACCAACACAAAGATGGGCACATGATATAAGTGACTCCTCAGAAATGAAAGTGCATGGGGTGGGAGAGCTTTCAAGGGACCTAGTTTCTTTCAGGCAGACCGGGAGCGACATTTTGCAAAGGACAGAGAGAGAGAGAGAGACATAATACGGCATGTTATGGTGTGTACAAGTGGAAGGGTGTGTAGCTGTATGTTCTGGTATGTAGATATGG